TGCTTTTAAACAAGTACTGCCTGGTTTTCTTGACACATTAGACAAAAGCTTTAGAACGGGGAGCTCATTACTAACTGTGCTGAGCTGGAAGCAAAGATGCCTGCAAAAGCAGACTCTACAAGTACTTAAAATGTTCCTTTTAAGCCATGACTCTTTAATTCTTCTTCAAGTCAGTCTTAACAGGTCCCTGTTTTCCCAACTTAGACTTGAGAAGATGTAGTCATTTTGACATGATACTGAACCTTTTGAACACTTTACTCAAAGCAGAGTTTTAAATACTGTAATTTGATATACATGACTACATTTATTTAATGACATGGGCAGGGCCAGAATTGATGAGCCAGGGGTAAGGGTGAGATATATTTACGATCTGAGTCAGACAAGTCTTAGAGTCTATGGCCTAGCTCTCCGCATCTGCTCCGATGTTTTCTAAATCCTCTGTCCATCTGGGTTGCCAACTATGGCAACCTCTGTCTATCAGAACTTAAGAGTAAATAAATTCTTCAGGGAAAGGTCAGCATTACTCAAGTATAAATAAAGGAAAGTCACAAGGCACTGGAAGACACTTGCTGCACATGCTCCAAGAATTCCCCTGGCTGCTGCTGATCTTGGTGGAACAGATCACCCCAAGGATTCAAGCAAGCAAGTTGAGCAACCATTAAAACCAAAGGGCATTTTGCTGTAAGACTATCAAACCCCCTTCCTCTTTTGCTTCTCTTGCTCACTCCTCTTTTTCTCTTCTTCCCTTTTTGTGGTTTTGCTTTTGTTTGCGAGGGGTGGGAGCAACTAACCCGCACATTATTTTCTCAGGGTTGGCATACTGAACTACTTGACTAAAAACTGGAATTATTGTCAAACAAATATTCCGTTTCAAGAGTATTTTCCAAGTAAAATAAGTCATGGGCTTAGTGGTGGGTGAAATAAGGAATATTTTAGATTTTTTTTAAACATTTAATTTTTTTTTAAAAGAGTTTTGGAAATAACCATCTATGTGCTTTTTTTTTCTCCCAAGTATTTTATTCCTTGAGGACCATGGTCACAGGAAGGAAAATTTGGTTTCATTTCTTTACAGCTCAGATTCCCTAATCGGAGTAATTTTAAAGGTACTTCTGAGAACTTGCAAAGACCTTAAAAGGCTCAACTAATGCCTGTTGGAAACAGGATCAAACACCCATACATAAACACTGAGTCGAACTAGAACCCAGATGCAGATGGAGAGGACAAGACCAGGCGGCAGAAACACATAGAGACAGCTTACCTGAACAAGGAGGAGCTAATGGGCCACCAGACTGATAGCTGGGAAGCCAGCATGGGACTGACTCAGGCCCCCCTGAATATGGGTCTCAGCCAGAAGGACTGAGCAGTCTAAGGGACCTCAGACAGTGGAGCCAGGATGTATCCCTGGTGCACAAAAGGACTTTGTGAACACATCCCCCATGAAGAGATAACTGCCTTAATCTAGAGACAGGAGAGAAGCCCTAGTCCCTACTTCACATGACCTGTCAGATCTACATGACCCCAAATGGATGGCATTCCCCTACATATGGAATTGGGTTGGGGGGATGGGAGGGGAGGGTGGTTAGAGTGCATGTGAGAGGGCAGAGAGGGTAAAAGGGAGGGAAGGAGGGAGAGAGGGAGGGAAAGAGGGAAAGAGGGAGGGAGGGAGGGAGGGAGGGAGGGAGAGGGAACTAGAATCGACATGTAAAATAATAAATTAAAATAAAAAAATGCTTTGACTCCAAAATTTAAGTTGAAGGACAAGTTACTGGGGAAAAGGATTTCTATTTTTGTTTCCACAGAAAATGAAAAGATGTGGATTCCTTCCAGACTAATGTGGTTTGATCAAGCCAGACAGCCTGAAACAGAGTACCAGATGATCCTACATTCAAAACAGCTGGACAAAGCAGCCTTACAGACTACAGCCAGGATTTCTGAATCTTCGAATCCCTCACGACAGTGCCCCTTACCAGCAGGAAGTAGTTTGGAAAGAACAACGCCCAAATTCCCAAATATTGTCTATAAATGTTTGTTTTCATTTAAATGGACTTTGTTATATAAAATAAATTTAAAAAATTTAAAAAAAAAAGGCTTTTCATTTCAGCCCAGTTTAAACAAGAAAAATAAAACCAGACAAAAATAATATCACATCCCAAAAGCTCAGTTATCCTTAGTGCAAGGTAAGTGCACATTCAGTGTAATAGGTCAGCACTACTCCATGAGAGCTACCATGAAAAATGCCACAACTCAAACCACTGAAGAGGATTCACAGCAATCAGAGAGCTCCCAGCCTTCATAAGGCAATGTAGATGAAGTCAGAAAGATTAATATACATCCTACATGTACTCCCCCAATGAAGCCACTCCAACTGGAGATAATTCTCACCCAAAAGACTAGATCATATACATGAAAATGTTTATAGAAGCTATAGTCATAAAAATAACCATAAATACATTTTGTTATTTTTATTTTATTGCATTGGTATTTTGCATATGTGTACACATGTAGGTCATATGTGCGCAGTGCCCTCAGAGGACAAAAGAAGGTACCATGTCTTCTAGAGCTGTAGGTAAAATGGCGATGAACTGCCATGTGGGTGTTGGGAATTGGAATTTGGTCCTCTGGAAGACCTGGCAGTGCTCTTAACCACTGAGCCATCTCCCCAGCCTCATCAATACAATTCTTGTACCCAACAGAATATATAACAAACTAAAATATTCACATTACTAGAATGCTACACAGAAATAAAACAGGAGTAGATTTTTGACACCTGTAATGTTAGAAATGAAATTCAAAGGCATGCTGAAGGAATGAAGACAGACCAACCCTCCCAGGCAATGTGATTCCAACTATGCAGATTTCTAGTAAACTAATCTATATTGATAAAAATCCAATCAGGGGATGTTTCTTGAGGAGGATACCTTCTGGACTTCTATTTGTTTTTATTAGTTATTTGAGAATTTCATACAATATGTTTTAATCATATTCATCACTCTCTTCCAACTCCTCTCAGATCGATCCCCACTTCTTACCCACAGAGGCCAGCAAAGTTACTAGACATCACAAGCTAATAGATAAATAATCCCAGTGCAAGCAAAGGGTTTCTTCCTTTGCTTGTGGGCCAATGAGCTCCTACAGACACCAAAACATTATGGGCACTGGTCTTGGTTACCCTTCAGAACTTGAAAATCAAGACCCTATTGCCAGAGTCACAGAACATGGAAAGAGCAAGCTGACCATGATCTGGAAGTTTCATCCCTCCTGGCTAGATTTTCTGGTGGTTGGAGGTGCTGTGCATTCTACCAGAGAAAAACCATCATCTTACCTAGCTGTGATCAATGAGCGCTACAAAAATGACTGGCCTTGCAAGATGTATTCACCAGTGAAATTGCGGAATGAACATTATGGTAGTAACCAACCACTTTCTGTTGGATTTAGGTCTCATACCAGAGGATGAAACCCATACCTGGCACCATTTCTAAGCCAGGAACCTTGGGCTAGATAGGCCATAGGCCATCAGCAAGAACCTAGTACCAGTATATTGCTAAGGGACACAGTATTAAATAGATTCCTAATTATTTATCCTTATACCCATAGATGAGTGCACCTCTCAACCCTCAGAGAAACATCTATTTGCAGTAGGTGATAACACAAAGACCCACAAATGCCCAAGGTTCAGAGAATAGGATTTCTGCATTCTATTTTTTAATGTTTTCAAATACAAAATATCAAAATTTATAACTCAAACTGCACAAGTTTTATAGGCTTTACTGTGTTTAAATTACAACTAATGTTCTTTTAATTTTAAAGTAAGAATGCAACTTTTCTCAAATTTGAAATAATTTCTAGGGTATTGAAAACAAGAACTACAGAAATCCTGTTTTAAATGTCCCAAAGCTTGAGGTTTTTGCAAATTTGAGCAGTTACAACTTTTGAAATTTGATACTTCAGTAGTAAATATTTATGAGAAGCAAATATTCTGTATAAACCATTTAGGATCATGGTTCAGTGTTTAGCACACTGCTCATTTCAGACAGCGCCAAAGACTGTGTTGGGTTTAGGGATAAGTGAGTTGCAGTTGTCAAAAAACATAAGTGACAGTTTTTACCTCTTTGTGTCTCTGCTTAATTCTCCTGTGAGCACATCTAGTTTTCTAAGCCAGTTTTCCTTGGTATCAGTGGGCATCAGAACCATCTATAACTCTTGTTGAAACACAAATGGTTGAGACCCACACTCGATATCTCACCCAATGAAGACTGGGGGCAGGGGACCTTCAGTTTGCATGTTCCATGTTCTCCAATGACAAGTGATACAACCTGATCTGAGGCCACACTTCCAAGAGTTCTGCTTCAGACACTCTTGAATTTTCAGATCAAAGATCAAAATTTGGGAGATGGAGGAAGGAAAGTCAGTGAGTTCAAGATCACTTGAGCTACAGAGTAGGAGCTTAACTCAATGTGTGTGGGGTTTTTGTTTGTTTTTAGTAGTGGAGTTCATTAACAACTGCAATTATCATTAAAAAATAAGTAATTTTAAAAAAATCAAATCGACAGAGCAAAATAAGTCAGATTTAGTAGTGAGTAAAATAAGGAATGTTTCTGATTATTTGAAAGGATACATACACATGCACATACACACACAAGTATAGACATACTTGTATGTATCTCCCCTTTAACTCTTTAGTTTACTCCTCTATGCTCTCTGCATGATACTGCTCATTCTGCAAGATAGTGCCCATTTGATATTTGTTCTTTCCCCTCATATTTGCTCATTTGCTGATAAACATACATCCATATATTCTCTACTCAGATCATAGCCCTGCCAATAGCAGGATCTCCCCATCCTAGATTATCTACGTACCCCTCATAGCTAGAACAATTCTGTAGCTAATATGTGATACGTAAATGCTTAGGGTCCAAAAGTTTGTACAAATTTGTCTAAGCATGTGTCAATACCATAAAAAACTATATAATGAAAAATAATTTCTATTATGGGGGAATTACCTGTCATTGGGACAGTGACTTGGCAACGTCCAGTCATGGTGCGGATTGATGAGGAAACCCCAGGACAGGAAGACTGAGCTTGGGGACAATGTACCAACCACAAGCTGGAGAGGTTTTCGAGAGCGAGATTTACCTGTGGAGGCAGAGCACAGTTAACTCCAGACACATTGCACATCATGTGACCCAACCCCAGGTCCTCCTTATCTGCCCCCACCCCCATAATGTCTTCCGAAAAACTTTTAAAAATTAAGTGAAAACAAAACAAAAGCCACATTGCACCCCACCATCTCTCCCACCATCTCCAACGCCTCCCATTTATCTTGGTGTCACTGGGAACTTCGGTGAGGACACTGTGCCTTTTGACTGATGTTTTGAGTAAAATGCATGCATGCACAAAGACTTGGAAAGATGATAGTCCTTTCCCTTTTGGTTTAGCTTTTATCATGTCAAGATTTTTTTGAGTCATTTCTGGGCTTTATGAGAAGGCTTTTTAAAATTAAGCAATTCTTTGAGACCCTTACAGCTTTTTATATAGTCTACAAAACTGACTTTTGTTCATGAATTTCAACATGAATCAAAGGAAATGCTTTATTGATATTGGGTGTACATATATATATATATATATTGCAATGATACCTAGCTTTAGTTTTCCTGTGAGTCACATAATTATAGAGGTGTTGGCTAGATTAGTGAAGTGAACACCTCGACACAAGACACATACTTCCATCTCTGTGTGTCTACATTCTATTTGCTTCATTTCCCTCACAGATAAATTGAAAATGCGCCTTTTACACAAGTGGTCCTCATCCAGTGGGTCATGAGCTTTTTGTGGTTTGCATATCATATATTCTACATACCAGATATTTACATTACAATTCTTAACAGTAGCAAAATTAGAGTTACGATATGGAACTATATTAAAGGGCTGCAGCATTAGGAAGGTTGAGAACCAATGTTTCAGGCTGAATTAATATCTTCCAAAAAGAATGTAACATAACTATGGAAGTTGTATGTTATATTTTTAAGAATCCTACCTTAAAGTGTAAACTGCCTTGATATAATACTATAATTGGCACATGCTTACAGTAAGCACACAAATGTAAGGTGCACACACTTTAAATAACACTGTCAAGGTAGGAATAATACAGAAAACACAGATATTCTGATGGGACTAATTGATTTGGAAAATAACACAAGTTATGCTAATGATTGATTATAGAGACTGCTCAAGCACATGGGGTAGGGTAGGAGTGTGGGGGTAGGCATTTCAATTTAAAAATTATTTGAAACTATAGAGGTGGGAAGATAAGAAAAGGAAGGATCCTGAATTTCAACCTGGGAAATATAATCAAAATTGGAAAAATAAGTCTCATGAAATTGTATCCCTACTGAGTTCCCTTCTTACTTTATAGACTGGGAAGAACTGTTTTCTCAGTCTTGGGCAGTACATCGCAGTGCCTGGTACCTTTATTAAAGTGTATAAGACAGGACCCTATGAGTGAGTGTAATGGTGACTATTTGAATCAAATGCTCTTGAAAAGTGTCATTCTGTTTAAGTTCTGTCTGTCAATTAGGACTCCAGGAAGAAAGCCTCTGACATGAATTTACATAACCTAGTGATATAAAAATGCTGTGTCCTCATGCAGTTGGGGTATCATATCTTCCAGTACCTGCATACATAGTGTAATGCTCAAAGAAGAGTAAATCTATAACCTTAAACATCTGGTATTTCTTTATGATGCAGTATCAAACACCTTCAACTTTAAAAAAAATAAACAGTAAAGTTTTATTACATATGGTTTTATGATTTGAGTGAGTGTCCCTGTGCTAAAGGCTTGGTTTGCATTCCATGCTGTTACTGTGAGTTACTACAAGAAGTAAGCCATAATAGGAAGGGTTTAGACCTTTGGGGTCTGCCCTAAAAGGGGGATTTGGAATCCCAGTCTCTTTCCCTTTCTCTTTCCCTTTTTGCCTTCTGATCATGAGAAGAACATTAGCACCCTAAAGAATGGAGCTCAATGATTATGGACTCAAACTTCTAAAATTAAGGTTATCCTGGGTATTTGACCTCGTAACAGAATTCTAGAAACTTAACTAGGGAAGTTGGCCTTTTAATGTGGTCTAAAGTCACTTATGAAGATCATAATAGTTGCTGGCTGCAAACATGCATGTACCTCTTCTCTGTAAACCTTTCAGATGCATCTGTCATCCTGCCTTGCAGATGCTGATTTAAATGACCTACAGTTGACCTCCAAGGAGAAGAGATAAGAAGAGTCTTGATTGAGGTGGGGGCACACACGGTTGGAAACAAACACTGAGGAGATTATACTATTCTTCCTGTCTGAGTTGACTGAATATAATACAACAAAATTATTTTAGAGATGAGCAATAAGGGCCAGAAAAAGTCTCAAGGGTGTTCCAAGTTACACAGAATGCAAGGTAAAAAACTCCTATTTGGGTTTCCTTGATTATTTTCTAATTTCCTTTGTAGTGAATCCTTGGCTCTGCTCACAGTGTGTGAAGAGACAAAATGCAGCTTAGAGTTGAAAAATGTATATTTCATTCCCCAAGGGATCCTAGGCTTACATGTTCAAACAATTATGTCACTAACTTGGTGGTTTTAATATAAAAAAAGATTAGCTAATTAGAATCTATGTGGCAGATGCAAATGTAAAACAAATGGAGGTGATTCCATTAGTCACTGCATCTCTCCCAGATGCAGAATAAAGCCAGGCATCGTAGCCATTGCCCCAGAGGAAAGGTGGACTATGGTGTGCTGAGCACAATGACACAATTTCCTGAGCTAGGGATGAGGAAGTGAGAAATAATTTCCACAGCCAGTGTCAGAAACTTTAATGAAATGAAGGTAGAAGTTATTACTTGAACTATAAAATCTCAGTGGTCTGATTTTTATTTACATGTAAATTTGTATTTCTATGACCAGGGTTATATGAGCAAACAGTGAGTAGCCAAAAAAAAATCACATTCGAAGACACCACAATCACATTTGACCTTATTGATTGTTCAAAATTTTGAAACACTAGTTTTCTTCTTTGCTTCAAGATAATAGGCCGTGGAGGGGGATATATATGTGTGTATATATGTATGTATGTATGTATGTATGTATGTATGTGTATATATTTTTAATATATTTATCAACTATATGTATGTATGTATATAAATATATATCAAAATGCTCAATCATCTGATGCTACTTGTAAAAGAAATAATGGAAGTCAAGGGAAAGGAGAGAAGGGTGTTGAAAATTGATTTCCCATGGCCAGTCCTGAGCTGGTACAGAGTACAAATTCAGAGTGGCCAAGGCCCCTATGCTTGGTGTGGCAGAAGTGTCAAATGCTATCCCTCCCAGCTTCTTTCTCCAGATAAGCAGAACAAACAAACATAGAGATGCTTTTTTGCATGTCATCCAGGATTGCTCAAAAGGCAAATGTAGTTAGGGAATTGTTGAGTGGAGAAGAATTCACAGTAGAGAAAGCAGAGCAAACCTCTGTGGTTAGTACTGTCCGCAGGAAGGAAGATGCTCTGTTAGAGGACACAATGTTTTTCTTCAGAGCAATGCTCGAATAAAGTCTTACTAGCTAGACATGGCAAACTTTTAATCTTATGTCTTCAGTGTTTTTTGTTTTTTTTTTTTTTCCTGTTGCTGAGGTTAAATACCCCAGCAAGAGCAATTTAAAGGAGATAGGTTTTATTTTGGCTCACGATTCAAGGGTAATTCATTCAAGGCAGAGAAGTTGAGACAGCAGACATTTGAAATAGCTGGTGTACCCTCTACAAGCAAGACGCAGAGAGTGACAGATCCATGCACTCAGCCAGTCCCTTCCTTTTACAAGGTCTAGGACCTAGGCTCAGGGAACCATACTGTCTGCTGTTAGGTTTTCCATCTTGATTAACTTAATCGACATAACCACTCACAGAAACACTTAGAGGCTAAATAATCTCTAACAGGTGTGCCAAGAGGTGATTTCAGCTCCTGTCAAGTTGGCAACAATATCACAGTCATATCAAAGTTTTACTTTCATTCATTCTTATTCACAATAACCAAGGTAAAGAGAACGTGTAGCTATCTAAACCTCAGTGTAGGCAGCGGCAAGCAGTGGCAATGCCAGTTTATGCTGAGAGCAGTGTCTAAGCCAGGCCATGCTGCTCGTCTAACAGGTAAGCTGCAAACTCAGGACTGATACCCTCTACACCTACATTGCTAAGACATCTCCACGGCATTTCATCTGTGGCGTGTGGTAGAAGATGAAGTTGCACTGTGAATAGCTAACTACAAGGAAATCCAGTGCAAGGACTGTACCTGAACATGACTTCTTCTGGCTGGGAGGAGGAGCGGGTCGCACAACTATCAGATACTTCGGTTCCGCATCTGAAACAACAACAACAACATTACCTTTCAGCAAAATCCTCCCAGGACCAGCAGAGGAGTTGGCACACCCATGTCCTAAATGAACATTTCCTGATGTTAAACTCTCTGACCCCCCCCCACCAGTGTATAAGACACAAGGATTGGAAAATTAATACTTTCTAAAAAGCCCATTAAGCTTTAGAAATAAAAATTAGATCCATATTTCCAAACCCAAATGGGCGGGGATGGGGAAGAGGTCTTTAAAAAGAACACGCTATGCAGACCTTTCTTTTTTCAGTAAAATCTTATTAACTTGCAAGTGAAAACATCACACAGCTAGTTTAAGGAAACCACTCAAAATAAAATACCCACCCAGTCCCAAACGCTATGCATCTCAATGAATATCTAACTGTCAGAATGTTCATTCTGAAGCTATGTGGCTTTCCTTAAGGTTTTACACTTTCACTACCCATTATATTCTTATTTATTTATCCAACACTAAAAATGAAAATAAAATCCTTCAAGTTGAAAATAGAAAAAAAATTAGCTTTATGTCATCTTTTATGACTTATGTGTTCTTTTGCCTGAATCGCCACTTTCCATAGCATCCACTGTCATCCTCCTGAAAAGCCATTCTCAATTTATACTATACCCACATACTCATTTATATATACCCCTGCATGTATGTATACTGTACCCACACACTCAGTTACATATATACACCTGCATGTATGTATACTATACCCCCCTCATTACATATTACCCTGCATGTATGTTACTATACCCACACACTCAGTTACATACATACCCTGCATGTATGTATACTATACCCACACACTCAGTTACATATATACACCTGCATGTATGTATACTATACCCACACACTCAGTTACATACATACCCCTGCATGTATGTATACTATACCCACACACTCAGTTACATACATACACCTGCATGTATGTATACTATACCCACACACTCAGTTACATATATACACCTGCATGTATGTATACTATACCCACACACTCAGTTACATACATACCCCTGCATGTATGTATACTATACCCACACACTCAGTTACATATATACACCTGCATGTATGTATACTATACCCACACACTCAGTTACATATATACACCTGCATGTATGTATACTATACCCACACACTCAGTTACATATATACACCTGCATGTATGTATACTATACCCACACACTCAGTTACATACATACCCCTGCATGTATGTATACTATACCCACACACTCAGTTACATATATACCCCTGCATGTATGTATACTATACCCACACACTCAGTTACATATATACACCTGCATGTATGTATACTATACCCACACACTCAGTTACATACATACACCTGCATGTATGTATACTATACCCACACACTCAGTTACATATACACCTGCATGTATGTATACTATACCCACACACTCATTTACATATATACACCTGCATGTATGTATACTATACCCACACACTCATTTATATATACCCATGCATGTATGTATACTATACCCACAACTCAGTTACATATATACACCTGCATGTATGTATATGTACCACATGCTTTCCTAGGGCCCTCAGAGGTCAAAGGGGGGCATTAGATCTCCTGGAACTGTAGTAACAGATGGTTGTGAACTACCACATGGATGCTAGGAACCAATCCCTGATCCTCTGCAAGGGCAGCAAGTGCTCTTAACCTCCAAGTCATCACACCAGTTATATATAATTTATTTATTGATTCTTTGAAATTTTCAAACATGTATACAGTATATTTTAATAATATTTAGCCCCTACTTCTCGCAACACCTCCTGGGTTCAGTCATGACCATGCCCAATTTTATGTCTTCTTTTATGCACTCCACTGAGTCCTATTTTACTGCCCTATATGCACAAGAATGGGCCATCCACTGGAGCTTATCATTGAATAGTATGTAGGTCCTAAATTATGTAAGTAAAATTATGCTAAGCCCTATTAGATACTACACTTAATCTTAGCTAAAAGGCTAAGAAGCAATGTTAAAGAGATGTGAGCTTATTCAATAAGCACTAAGGATTTATGAAAATGCCTTTTTAAAAACTAATGTATCAAAAAAAAATTAATGTATCCAAGATGACTGCTTGGTAAAACATACACAAACAAAAACCCACCTAGGAACTGAAAAATAGTATTTCACCAACAATTATATTAGACTAACTGGTTGATGAGTTATTACCCTAATATTTTTTTTTTCAGGAAATTTGGGGCCTGGGACTTCTAATTCATTAAATTTAACTTGTCTGCTGCAGTCAACCAGAGTTGAGAACCACTTGCTCAGGTAGACCTTTTTGTTTTATTTTTGTTTTGTGTTTACATCTCTCCCTTGTGGATCTAGAAGAGGCCTTCTTATCTAAGGCTTTACAGAGCCATCTTCATTTACATGGCTGGCATCTCTAACATATTATTTACTGAGGTAAGCAACCTCGGCAATCCCTAGAACTCACCTCAGGGCTGTGTCTGTTGCATAGATACATCATGACAGATGAACACATAGCCATATAACCTCATGAACACAGATAAGGCATGTTCAAGCCTTCAAAGAACCCAATGGATTTGAAAGTGTATCTTGCTTATTTGAAACTCCCTTATGAACTGCTCAACTCAAATCCAATAACAGGACTATAGTCACCATTGAGTGAGCTTACTAGGGTTGTGAAACAATTTAGTTGCCAATAAACTACTATGTAATAATGCTTTCTATGTGAAACTGTTAATAAATTTATAAACTAATGACACACCATGTTGATCCTACACATCCTATGAAATTAACTTGTGTAATAGTGTGTTCACCTTCACAGGTGTGCAATATACACAGTTGCATCCTTCACAGGGTCCCCATGTTTGATTTAGATCTGATCACCATCTAGAAATTCTTTTTATTTTTACTTCTTTTGTGTGTGTGTGCACGTGCATGCACATGTGTGTGGATGTCAAAGGACAACTTGTGGAAGTCAGTTCTTTCCACCATGTGGATTCCAGGGATTAAACTCAGGTCACAGGTCTGAGGAGGGGAGGAAATCACATTAAGTTTCTGAATCATTTCACCAAACCCCTGAAAATTTTAGCACTTTGATCTTTGAACTTAACTTTGCAAAATTAAGTCTCATGGGATACTGGGGCATGTGTGGGAACAAACTTGTCCATGGATTTCTTCCTCCTTTTTCACATAAAGCATTCCAAGTGCAGGAAACTCCAGATTCCATGAGACCCTGTCTCAAAACTAAGGGGTAAAGTAGTAGAAGGTACTCTAAGCAGAGTTCTGGCTTCCACAAGAATGTGTGCTGGTCAGCATGCCTGCACACATATGTGGGCATATACCTCACACACAATAGAAGAGGACAAGCAAATCTTACCTGAGGCTAAGAAAGAGAATGTGGAAGGAGACAGTGACAGCCCCAACATGGAATGCTCAAGCCAGAATTCGCTTCCGTGAGAAATAAGGTGATGTTTAAAGAAACACAAACCAACAAGAAACCTCTTTATGCACAGTTTTGCTGTGTTAGCCAACATGGAAGAAAATGGAAAGACGGGACAATTCAATTCCCTTTCAGCTCTCCCTCACGAGTTGAAAAGAACATCCAAAGGATGAGCATGCCTGTGTCAAAGGTGAGTAAGAGTTGAGACACACATTTTGTGCAGTTTTCCCACAATTCTGCTAAACTCCCACACATGCCGGAACTACAAAATACTGACTGTGCACTTACTTCTAGCCTTGCTGTTGAGATGGAAAGGTTGTCAAATTCACACCAACATTTCCCCAAGAAAATCGTAGACCACTCTCATTCATAGATACCACTGTAAAAGGTCTTTAAAATATATTGTCCAAGAGAAGCTACTCTAATCAGGTGTAGATTATTACAGTGAACAGACACAAGGTGGATTTGGAAGACTATCCATAGGTCTTAAAACCACAAATGACAAGATGCAAAACCAAGTTTAAGTGTTCTCTTTGGGGAGAACACTAATGGGACAGTTTTCTAGACATCTGAGGGCTCCTGCTGCTCACTGGGATGAACAGTTATCCGGAGACAAAGGATCATGGCAGTCACAAGTTCACGGGAAAGGCTGAGCAGAGTTAGCAAAAGAACATGGATATCAAGAGCCCATGGGGAAAGCTGAGCAGAGGCATTAGTGCTGTGATAACTTCACAGTGGTTACTGAGTTATGAATTCAGTTTAGTAATTTCAGTAAGTTATTTAGATTACTAGTTTTCTGTTAGTTACACAGAAAAAGAGTATCTATGGAACTGTAATTATCAGAAACTAAGTGAGTGCATGTTTTAGTATATTTCCAAGTCTCTATAGGAAGACTTAATGGACTGAGCTGAGGCTAGACCTGGCAACACTTTGAGTTGGAATAAATGGAGCTTTGCATGAAGAATGGAGAAAACTCTTAGGAACTGGAAACCAGTATAGGCCATAAACACAAACCACAATCCACCGGTTTTTTTTTTTTGTTTGTTTGTTTTTTTGTTTTTTTTTGTTTTTTTTTTTTTTTTTTTTTTTTTTTTTTTTTTGCAAACCTCTTTATTCTTAAGTAGAAAATGAATAACTATTTACAGAACCATATGTGTTTTAGTGTGGATCAATAAACTTTTCTTTTTTTGCCTCAACAAATCCTGCACTATTTGGTAAGTATTTCCATCAAATATTACAATATCTTTTAAATGATGAACCTGTGCCCAGTTTCACAGAACACACTGCTATGCCCCTAGGTTCAAAGAAAACACTGGCTTCCTCAGCCTTTAGGAATGGAATAACACCAAAGTGTAAAAGATCCACAGAAGTGTAGCCAGCCCCATCACAGAACCACCGGCAATTCAGAAAGGACTTGGATGCTAGCCACAGAAGGGGATCGAGAATATTCACATGCCTTGTCACAGCTTAGATCTGCACATGCCATATAACAAGTCTGCAGGGCTGATGACTCCAGTGACAAGCAGCCCCTGCTGTCCTTGCAGTGGGA